AGTGTCGATCTCAGCTAGCTTGTATTTCTTCGGTTTCTTTCCCTTTTACTCGATTCAATGTCTTATAACTCCATTATGAAACCAAACTCCTTTCCTTCTAGGGATATGTTCTATAAACCTGATAAACATAGTGGGCCCAAACACACAAAACATGAGGTCGACAAAAAACGGCGCCCAAGAGCCTGAAGGAAGGCCTCGTGGCGGTAGCGCGGATCCCCATACCACTCCTCTCACTGTGGTTTCCCGATAACATTCTTCTTCCAGGTTCTATAGTCGACGACTGCGTTGTCGGGGAGCCGCTTCCATTTCTTTTTGCAATCGACCTATATATCTACGTTCCTATCGTTGACGAGGTCTGTTGGGATAAGCAGCTGCCTAGCCGCCTTCGCAAAGTTGACGGCGGGACCGTTGATTTTGTCAATCTTTAACATACGAAGGGCGCGAGTAAACACCTCGTCGTCAACCTTCACCTTGTTGACGGTTTGCTTAGCCGTCCACTTATACTGCTTATTGATATTCCACCAGGTGTTTTCCGGGATCCAGGCTTTGAGAACATTCTCGACGGCCTTCTTATTGGCGGTTACGTGACAATGCCTGAATGGAGAATCGCGGTTGAGGTTAAGTAGTCTAGTGGTGGTGTGACATGTACGTACCAATCACCGGGGTTCCCAACCCACTGCCCTGGCCCAGGTGTGTGAGGTAAACGCCCTTCCCGAATTGCGCGGCGCCACGTGTTAACCCAGGGTTACAAACAAGTCTATGCTCCCTTTTGTACGCCCTTGCTTGATCCTAATTTCTTCGTAAGTCTGCGGTATTATACTAGCGCCAGTCTTCCTGTTGGGGGGGAGGGAGAAAGGGGAAAAAAAGAAAGAAAAAAAAAAAAAAAAAAAAGGAATATATCAAAGTCGAAAGCAAGACAGGACGCTGTGGGTATAGAAACACTTTTGTCCCACATCTCGGATTGTCCGATAGACAGGGGGAACATCTATATAGGGTCGGGTCCTTGCTTGGCATCGAGGTACACCCAAGCACAGGTGTACAACTACTGGCTGGAAACATATGCGCCGCCCGTCTCTTCTCTTCTCCCTGACCACCCCTGCCCGAATGGGGAATCTCGACGAGCTTCATAGAGTCCGCCCCCAACCCTCGGCAAGTTACCTGGTCCAAGTTGCCTCGCCTGGCGACACATCGCAAAGACACAAGGTGCCAATGACTTGTGGAGGTGGAGGGCGTACAGCTTGGGATCAGCAACAGATATCCAGCAGCGTCTTACTACAGAGCTAGTCACAGAATCGTTTTGCAAAGGGGGGGGAGGAATGGCCAGGCTGAAGATGCCGGAGTCGCCGCTGTAACGCGAGATGGGTACTCCCATTACTAACGACCGTGAACCGTACCGGTCATAACGCGTCCGCTGCTCAACAGGCCCCAGCATCATCAATATGAGAGTCAATCTTCAATTACACAGGCTACCTGATAATTTTCCGCCCAGTCTATCTTATTAACCGACCAACCACCTCCATATCATCAAGTAGTTGAGACAATATCTATTCTATGGGTCTATCGGCATAGACGACGACAAAGGCTGGATGGTCGTCATGCGTAGCCAGGCGCGTTTGCGAAGGCGTCCGGGTGCAATTTGACGCAGAGGTCCGGGTTCTGGGTCGTCCAGCCATGTGAATGCATGAAGCCCAGCTGCAGGCTCATGATGTTCTAAGTGGCCAGCGAACAGCACTCTCCTTCGGTCTTCGCTCCAAGCTTTCATGGAGGCAGTACGTCACCGCGTTAGCGAAGCCGATGAACTGGCTCGAGCTCTGCAGAGCCGCTAGCAACAAACCATGCGATTCGACCCCAGACGCTTCCATCACTCTGTTCACAAGGGCGGGGATCCAGAGCAGGATATATAAGATGGGATACGAGTTGAGGAGCATCATGCGCTTGATGCGCCTCTCCAATCTCCGGGACTGCTCGTCGATCGAATGATGAGCCGTCGCCGCGGCGGTGAGGTTCGGCAGCATTACTTTATCACTCGCGCCGACGTCTCGGCCGGAGCTCGGTCGGGAGTCCGCCAAGTAATCATCTCCCCCTAGTCGAGAATTACGCGGCGATAGCATACGTCTGCTGCTACTGTCTGTTGTCAAACACCTCGTCACAGGAAACGCTGTGGCGTCCGTCGCCACCGGGGAAAGGTCGTATCCCAGGGGCTGTGTGGTCCGTGAAGGGTGTCGTCCACCCATAGCCGCGATTTGCGGCCGTGGCCAATTCACATCCAATCCACTCACCGTCGTCTGGCGTGCTGTCAATGGAGCAGCAGTGCTCGTCGAGCTTCCGGTCCAGCCCAAGGAATCCGGCGCCATTGCAGCGGGGCGAAGACGTTGGCCGAGGTACCACCAGACGTAAGCGTAGATGGAAACGGTAGCGAACATGATCCACAGACGCCAAACGTAGGTGAGGGCAAATCGGAGATCCGGCCGGTCCCACGTTATCCAGCACCAGTTCCCGCTGACGGGCCCCAGGACGCCGATCCCAGCCGCCGCGACGCTGGTAGCAATAGGGACGATCCACACGCAGAAGCAGATGGAGACCTTCTCGAGGGACGTCCCCTCCGCCATGGACGTTTTTTGTTTTACTACCAGAAGGGTGGCAATGGCGATGGCGAGGATGGAAAAATCAGACGCTTGCACCGATAGTTGACCAATCACGCTGTTCAGGACACATGCTGTTCCGCGTCGTAACCCTTGGTCTCTGATGTATATAATCCCCGAGACGGTGTTGTTGGCTGAGTTGATGAATTCTTTTTATTCGGAAGCTGTTAGCCCTCTCGTCCTCTCGGAACAATCTTGATGGGAACCACATTACCGGCCACCATGAGGTTGAGAATGAGGATGTGGCGCAAAGACCGGCGCTGGGTGCGGTGGAGACCGATGGAGACCAATGCGCCAAACGTTGTCAGGAACGAAAGACTGCTCCCCATCAACGTCAAAGATGCAACTAGTACGTTGAAAGTCATTGTCGGCTTGCGGCGCTACGATGCTGTGGCTCTTTCCTACACAGCTACCTCACGCAGAAGCGTTTACTTTGCTCTGTGTAACGTCGAATATATGACCAGCGAGAGACCATCTTCGCCGTACTGGCCCAGTTACACAATGACCGGGAACCGTCGCGGATTGGGGTCCATCCAACGTTCAATTGCGGGGCTATAACTAACCGGTAGTGCCATTCGAACCTTAACGAGGGCGCGTATCCACCAAACTCGGTCAAAGACGGAGAAAAAAAAAAAAAAAACGAGAAAAAAAAAACTCAGCAAAATCAGCGGTAGAAGAAGAGAGAAACAGAGGAAAAGGACAGGGGAAAGATTGGGGGCCTTCACGGCGCGGCGCGATCGAAGTTCGGGTGAATTAAACGCCATTTGGGCGATGGGATGGCATTGTCTGGGCACCAAATTTACGTTATAACCCTAGTCGTGATCTGCACGAAGTGGGGCCGATGTAGCCGCAGGTGAGGCAGTCGGCAAGGGACACTAGAAAGACAAGTGGTCAAGGTGGGGGAAGTGAGGTCTACTTTACCGGCCAAGATATTTTTTGTTCCCTGTCTCCTTCAGTTCCGGTCCCCGCGGCGGAACATTGTTCGTTAGAAGTCTTATGTCTGCAAATAAACAACCGGCTTCGGACAGCCCGCAGGCAAGCTGGACAACCGCGCGTTTTAGCTGCCAGGTCAGCGGCTACTGCCCGGGGCCTCGCGATCATCTGTACACTGTCTGCCGGTCTACCGGCCTGCCGTAAGAAAGTTGCGTCTCCCGTCCCTCGTTGAACTGTGGCATAAGCACTCGGTACGATGCTGGATCGAGAGACGGTTACCGCATCTATCGACCATCGTCTGACGATGATGGACACTGCTTGGCGGCTGGGAGATTGAGATTGAGATTAGCGTATGTATAAATTAGCTTAGCGATTCGCCGGGATACGACCGGCCTGCCGTCGCCCTCGGTCGACCCGGACAGCCGTCATTTGTCAACTAACGCCGTGGTCTTGGCGCAAGCCTAGCCGTGTTGCCTCGTCTTGGATTCGGATGCCTCATCCGAATACCTATTGATACGTACCATGGTAAACAGATTCCATGCGTGCCGCAACCGTCCTCAAGGCGCACATGCTCAAACGCGTATGGGCTAACACTGGGGGATTTTCTGCTTGTTCAACCCTCTAACAAAACCCCCCACTCGTCCCTTGACCTCGCAGAGAGCTAATTTTAGGTCAACACGACACTGACATCGCCAGTATCCACGCCTTGCCGCGGACGCGTCGCCGATTCCGTGAGCCACCTGGGCCACGGCTTCGAGAACAAAGACCGAGCGAGCTCGACGTCCGGCCGGCGATATAGCGCGACTAACGTCTTATTAGTAGGAACGTATGGAGCATGCTTGGAGACGAATGTCAGTGGAGAGATATCGTCTCCACCAACAGATACCGTTTCCCATGTCTACGTGACATTCACGACCTCCCTCCTCCCCCGCTCTGCTGTCAATTGGTGATCTACCTAGCCTCTAGTCATGTCCATTTGCCATTCTTCACCATCATGACTTATCCGTACGGGCTCTTCGCTCTCTTCCGGGTCTTGGCGCTTGCGAGCGAGCCACTGTTCCCGCGAGTGAAACAACCCCCAACCCCCTAGAGGTAGAGGGGGCCCCGTCCCAGTGGAAGGGGAAGCCGGGGACGGGAGACTAATGATACAGCAACAAACCTGCCTCAAGCTATACTGTTTCTACCTGACATATTCCCGAACGCCAACCGTGTTGGTTGGGAACAGCATTAGCCGATGTCCAGAGGGCAACAAGACCTTTACGGGAACGCTATCATTGTCTACTTCATTGACTACCTAGTACACTGCTACCAAACAGAGCATAAGATCCATCCATCCCATGGCCGTCCACTACATACTACACTTATTGCGGCGTGCCGGATTCTACTGAGGCTGCCTTGATACTGACGGGATTCCGCCTTGGTGCGCTAGGTCCTGGCAACCAAGCCCGCGCACATCCTCTCGACGAGCTCGAAGGTGTTGTCGAGGGCATTCGTATCGGCCAGGTTCTTCCGGAATGGTCTGATGCCGTCCGTGTAGTGCTTCCTGTTGGTCCTGATCTTGGAGAAGGCGTCTCGGATCTCCTTGACGGACACGTAGTCCGTTTTGGAGAGCGCAGCGTAGGGGATCTGCGGCAGGCCGATGCCGACGCCCATCCTCTCGAGCCGACGTGCGAAGTACGTCTGGTCGGCGGCGTAGTCCGTCGGCAGGATGATTTGGGGGACGCCGGCGGCGATGGCGTCCGTCATGGAGCCGACGCCGCCGTGGGTCAGTACCAGGGACATTTCCGGGAATAGCGTGGCCCACGACGTCTCGCCGACAAAGAGATGGAAGACGCGTCCGTTGTGGGTGACGCGCCGGAAGCTGGACTCGGATCGTTTGACGTTGTGCAGGATGATGAAGCTCCAGTCGGTAAGGGCGGCCAGCTCCTGCTTGGCGACCTCGAAGAATGCCGGGAAGGCGTGGTCCTTGTCGAAGGGGCGTTCCTTCATACCCATGCCCATGTAAAAGATGGGCCGCTTTCCCTGCTTGTCGATCCACGAGTACACCTCTCCCTGGCGGCCCGGTCTGGCCGTGCTGGAGCGACCGGACAGCCGGGGTAGCTTGCCGACCATGGCCGCCCCGACGGCGCTGGGGGATGAGCTGTCCCAGATCTCGGGCTGCTGTGCGTAGATGCGGATATGGTTAGGCTTGATGTCCTTCTTTGTGAGGGCGGTGGAGCGGATGCCGGGAAGGTAAAAGACCTGGAGCTCGACGAGGATCCGGTCCCGGGTGGGCGCCGTCAGCTGCTGGATCTGGCGGCGCTGGTCCGGTGTTGTAGCGGAGGGGGGGATGAAGTGGCTCGCGACGATGAGGTCGGGCGACCAACCATGGAGGATGGACGCCATTTTCTGCATAAACATGGCGACCGCCTGGTCGCGCCGGGGCGGGTTCGTCTTCGAGGCCCACTCTCGGTTGTCATTGGCGAACTTGGCCTTGAGACCTTCGGGGAAGAAGTCCCGGTAGCTGTCGCCGAGGACGATCGCGTGCTTAACGTCGAAGATGGCCGGTCTGTCGAGCATGCCCTGGAGCACCGACGAGAGCAGGGGGACGTCGCCGTTGCTCCCGCCATAGATGATGAAGAAGACCTCGATCTTCCCCTTGTTCCTGCCGCGAGCCTGGAGGCCCCTCTGCAGCTGAGTCTCAACGGCCTTCAAAGCCTGGGACGGGCCGGGGATCTTGCTGCCCGGGGCGCCGGCCAGGATCTCAATGACCTCTCTGACCTGAGAGTCCGCGGCGGTAGACGGGCGCTGGATACCCCGGGCGACCAACGCCTCAGCCGCGACACTGCTGTTCCAAGCATCCGTTTCCAAGCCCTCTGGTTCAACAGGTGCACCTCCTGGGACGGGGCTGGCGGCGGCGACAGCGGCAAGAGAGCTACCAGCGAAGAGGGCGAATATCAATAAGACACAAAGCGTGCGCAGCGGTCTGTACAGCCTCGCGGCGTCCCTATCGAGAGACATGATGTAAGGACGTAGGTGTTATCGCCTTGGTGATTGAAGACGATGGTGAGCAGAGTAACTGCGAGATAGAGAGAGAGGGAGAGGGAGGGAGAGAGATATAGAGAGAGAATAAAGGAGAGTAGAGGAGAGAAGGAGAGGAGGAGGGAGGGCGAAACAGAGAAGGAGAGAGAGGTGAAGGGGAGAGGTGAAGCTCTCGCACGGCGGCTGGCTACAAAGTTATCCGGATATCACGCGTGCGTTCGACTGATCAATGATATTCCTAAATATCTCGGCATCTCCAGAGCTAGGAGGAGCCTAGCTATAGAGTGAGGAGGAGATATTAACGCTGGACCAGACGGTCAGCCCGCCGTCTAAAACATCTCGACACCGCAGGACTTTCCGTATGCCGCTGTCTGCAGCTGAACGAACATTTACGTCCGAGTTCAATCCCGTTGACACCGGGGCCTAGGGTCTTGGCTCTCATGGGGGGGGTGGGGAGGGGAGGGGGCCGTGGTCGCCTTCAGCCGAGCTGGCAGCCGGTCCGCTGCGGGGAAGAGCCCTCCTCGAGTGCTCACTGGGGCTGCGCTCAGGACGAGGAAATCATCGCAACATGCGCATCGCAACATGCCTCCCACAGCATCCTCGTCGAAGAGGATGAGGGACACCAGCGTGTGTGGTGGCTCTCGATCGGATATTGCCGTCCGGGCAGCCGTACCGACGAAGTGGGCTCTCAGCCTTCGGAGACGCCGCCGTCAGCCTTTTGCTGAGATCCCCGACCGGACCCAGTCTCTAGGCCTGGTTATTGCTGTTGTCAAAGTGCCGAAAACACCAGAAAGCTCATTCGCCTGAGGGGGGGAACCGTGGAACTCCTAGCCCTCCGCGGAACACGGTGCGTTGCAAGCGTTGTTCTCTCACTACTTAACCCCTCCGGTCTGCGCAACGTCCTCGATCTCACTTCGAAGACCCCCGACACGTTGTGCTGCAGGTCCCTACATTGAAGGCGTCCCTTCCCCGCGAAATCCAACTTCACGCTCCTTTAGTCGTTTACAGGCTTCGCCTTGACCATCAATCCTTTTTCTATCGTTTCCCTCGCTCGTTTTCGTCATGCACTGGTCTCTTGCCACTCTAAGCTGTCTCCTGGCGGCGTCGGTCTCGGCCGCACCGCTCTCAACGCAGCATGTTCCAGGCCTCGCCGCCCCCGCCCTGCCGTCATCGGCAGGAGACCTCGCCCCCGGGCCGTCTCCCCAACGGGACGACCTCGGGGACGAGGACGACGCCGGGGCGCGCGTGCATCTTTCCACAGCTGGCTCGCTCGTTGGCAGAGACATTAAGAAGGGCTGGTTCAGTGCACAGGAGGCGGCAATGCTCCAGAAGGAGTCGGAATCCGACGTCAACTTCTTCCACCTCATGGACAGCCTTGACACCCTCACCCAGCTTCTAGACCGGAACAAGATTCCCTGGGCCGTCGCCGGCGGCCTTGCCTTGAAGATCCACGGCCAGCCCAGCCGTTATACCGGCGACATTGACATCGTCGTCCAGACAACAATGTCAAAGCTCAAGACAGCGCTGAGCAAGGACAAGAAGTTCATTCTCCCCGGCCCCGGATGGCCAAGCGATTCCCACCTGCGCGTCTACCACAACCAAGGGAGCTCGTCTAAGCCGAAGTATATTGAGGTTGACATGATCATCGCAGGTAAGCTTTACCTTACTGCCTCCTCGCCTTGCCTTGCCTTGCCTTGCCCCCCCCCCCTTCCCCCCCCTTCCCCCCAGGCCATGGGCTCGTTGATTGGTGGAGCGATATTGACGTACATCACAGGCACGCTCACGACACCCGAAAATCTCAGAGCCAACTCAAAGGATATCCAAAAGGAGACGAGGGCCAAGAAGGCGCTTAACATCCACGTGATGAGACTTGGAAAGATCTTCAAGTCCAAGGTCTACGCTTTAGCCGCAGACCATCGCAATAAGAACGACAAGGACATGAAGGATATTAGCTGGATCATTGAGAAGACCCCTGGGGCCCTCGTTAACGTCCAGCAGGACCTGACATACGATCTGCGGCAGCTGGTGATTATGCATCTCGTCCGCCTGAGGTCGCCCCTGGTCGCTAAGGCCAGAGAGCTCCTCGGAGTCGATAACGGCGCGCGTCTCCACGCGGTGCCACCCCCGCAGATCGTCGGTGTCCCGCCGAACCAGGAGCCGGGCTTCGTCAGCTGGCTGTTTGACGGCACCCCTGGCCACACCGTGTGGGGCTAGACGTAGTAAGGTAGGGCTGACGGTCATCGGACGGATGGCTGGCGGAAGTAATCTAATCGGGGAGTGTACCGAGGATGGCTTGTGTCTAGTTTCCTATTGTTGTAGCTGGCGTAGTGCACAAGCATGGACGAGGTTGCAGTCCACGGTTTGAATGTGCGCGGGACGGCCCGAGCGGTCTCGGTGGGGGCTGCAATGTAACGCACCTTGAGGAATTCAGTATACTTACACACGTTGCCTTTCGCCGAGAAAACGTCGATGAATTAATTAATTTCCTTTCTTCTTACTTATAAAAAAAAAAAAAAAAAAAGGCCTCCTATTACTGTTAGACTTCCGAATGGGCCATGGCCATGGGAACATACACTACCAGCCACCTTCTTAAATTTGTTTTCATGTTATTTGCCCCATGGATTCTCGTCCTACTAACGCAAGCTGCGGCTATATTGCACTTATTGGTCCTCTCTGCTTATATTAAGGCTTTGTAGTAACTAGATGCGTATATCGCCCAGCAGCATGCTTGCAGTCTACTGACAGACTTATCACACAAAGGAGCCTGCGCAACTCATCCTAGGCGGAGCCGAGTGGGACGTGACGACCTCTGTTGTTTGCAGCCTCCGGCCCCCTCGGACGTGGTTGTGGAGGAGGCAGGGACAACACGGTCAGAGTCACCCGCACCCAGCGGCCAAGAGACGGACAAAGCCGTCGTCGGGAGGTCCGATGCTTCGTGAAAACAAGCTCTAGCGTCTACTTTTAGATGCACGACCCATCGCCTTTGGCGTCCTCCTCAACTGACCTGTCGCCGACCTTGCCTGGCTATAAACTGGCGACTTTTCTGCGTATGCCACAGGCTAGGCTTACGTGGACTACACGCGCCTCTACAGTGCTGGACAAAGGCCATGCTGCTGTTTGAGCGAAGAGGAGGCCCTGTGGATTGGACAACAGACCCGCCGCACTCTCTACCACTTCTGTTGCGGCCCTCGGGTTGTCCGACGGCGAGACCAACATAGTTCCTAGCGGCCAGAGGGCCCCACTTGCGGCCCACGAGACGGGATGTCGTTGAATCTGCCGACACTGGCCTCCCCGGCCGAGTGCAGATTGATGCTATACCCGGTCTTCGTTAGCGAGTCACGGCCACGCACGCCCTGCCCAGCCTCCGCAGACCCGAAAGACTAATTACGCTCCGGTGGAGGGCGGTGGGGATAATATACGTATCGGCAGCGAGGACTACTATTCCGAGAACCTGCGAGACTGGCTAGAAGACAGTCAACCGCATCCCGCGCACGAAAGGCTCTCTAAACATATTACCGCCTGGCATTGGGGTTCTCCGTCGTCCCGTCGAGTGACTTCTGGCTCGTCAGATGGGCCTGGCCAAACGTCCGGTGAGGCCGTCAGTCGGTTGCTCGCTACGAGGCGACCTTGTCGGGTGACGGCTCACGCGAAGAAGGGAAGCCCAGTCGTCATGACCCATGCGTCCGCTGATGCCGTTCTTCGTCAATTCCGATGTCGCCGGGCGGCTTGGTCGGACGGGCCAATGTGCCTTCCCCCTCGCGGATATCCCACGAAGCAGGTTCATCAAAGGGAGAGGAGGTGGAGGTAGTCTAGGTCGCTGTGGTATATTCAACGTTCCAGAGGCTGATAGTAAGCAGTATATATTGACTGTCAAAAGCCAGATCTTGTCCTGCTCAAACGGCAACTAGCTACCACAACAACCATCTTTCTCTCTTGTCCTTTCTTTGACTGACCTTAACACCTGCCACTCGCTACCCACACTTGCCCACGTTCCTCTTAGTTTTCTTTGCCAACATGGTCGGACCGCGTCCACTCCTCGTGCTTCTATCTGGCGCCTCTCTATGGGTGTTGTCCAGCCACGGGGCGCCTGCGAACGGGATGCCTGCGAACGGGATGCACGTCGCCCGAGGGGGGAACATGCCACCAGCGGAGGCCCAAGTTGCCAACAGACCTCTTTCCGGGCATCACGCCGCACTAGGGTCTGAGGGTCAGGACGCCAGTGTCCGATATCAGTTAGACAGTGTCTCGCCAAGCTCGGAAGCCGCGACTGAAGACGGGCTTTGGGAAGGCGACGCACTCTCGAGGAGAGCCACGGGCAGGAAGTCCGGATCCTTCTTCAGCCGTTTCAAGGTATATTAAGCCCTATTCATGGACTGACTCCAGCTGACCGCCGCCAAGCGCCCCTTTAGTAGGCGGCCCTCCACCAGACGGCCATCCACCAGGCGTCCCTCTGCCGGACGGCCCTTTGCCGGACGGCCTTTTACAAGAGGCCCCTCGTCAACCCAAACGGTAGCCGGGGGCTCTCGTTCCGGGAGTCTTCCTGCGAAGCAGCCGATGGCCGACGAGACCGCCCTCGACGAGACCGCGGCCGACGAGACCGCTGTCGACGGGGCTTCCGCCGACGGGAATGCCGTTGACGAGACCGCCGCCGACGGGACTGCCGCCGACGGGTTCACGGGCGAAGAGGGTTCAGGAGCCGAGGGCTCTGCCGGTGAGACGACTGCCGACGGGTCTTCCGTAGACGAGGCTCAAGTCCAGAAGCGATCCACCACCAAAGGCTCTAAGAAGAAGGTGTCCACCGGCGAGACCTCTACCGGCGCGACTACTGCTGATGAGACCTCTACCGGCGCGACCACCGCTGATGAGACCTCCACCGACGAGACTTCTACCAGCGGGGCATCTACCGGCGCGACCACCGCTGATGAGACCTCCACCGACGAGACTTCTACCAGCGGGGCATCTACCGGCGCGACCACCTCTGATGAGACCTCTACCGGCGCGACCACCGCTGATGAGACCACCGCCGACGAGACCTCTACCGGCGCGACTACTGCTGATGAGACCTCTACCGGCGAGACCTCTACCGGCGCGACCACCGCTGATGAGACCTCTACCGGCGAGACCTCTACCGGCGCGACCACCGCTGATGAGACCTCTACCGGCGCGACCACCGCCGACGAGACCACCGCCGACGAGACCTCTACCGGCGCGACCACCGCTGATGAGACCTCCACCGACGAGACTTCTACCAGCGGCGCATCTTCCAGGAAGACCTCGGCGAGCAAAACCGGTTCGAAGAAGACCACCTCAAAGAAGACTGCTGCCAAGGGGGCCGCTGCTGACGACACTGCCGCGGAGTCCGTATAGGACCAACTCAGTAAAGCACCGAACCGGAGCGCAGCTCTCGTTACTTGAGCGGCTTGGCTCCCACATATCGGGTCATCGCGATCGGCTTGTAGATAGATACCTGTTAAGTACGTCCCCGTGAGGGCACTTTTAGACGCGTTCGCAAAACGCAGCGCCGTGGAACGTGCGACATCTCATATTTACGCTCTGTATTTGAAGATTAAGTTATGGTTCTTACTCGAACAATAAATCACCGTTGCTACATAAGATGCAGTCGTCATGTCTATATAAGCAATCCCTCACAATACAATGGATAGTTTCCGAGCAAGGCAATGCCCTCCGGAATCCGGTTGACATGGGTAGGCGTAGCAGCCGTGTTTGCTCCCTGCCCGACCCCTCCTGCGACTGGCCATCATGGTTCGCTCGACAGCGAGCACCCGCCGCGCGTGCCCCATGACCCGCAGAGCAGGTAATCATTAGACAGACAGAAGTCTCGAGCTTCCCCGTCATCAGGATCAGCTGTCGACGCCGTATGCTTCGTCAGAGGACCGGTAGGCGAGGGGTGAGAACCTGTTTGCGTGTCACGACGGGGTCATTGATGCGAGGTCGTTCGTATACGTGCTGTTTTTCAAGGGGATTCTACACCACTTACACCGAGGTTGGTTCCATAGTAAATAGGGGACGAAGGACCACTGCGCCCACACTACGCTTACCTTACCTGCCTTAGGTAAGTAATCCTCTTCCTTCAATTCCCTAGGTAGTCTTATTTCTATAGGCCCAAGCCTATCATCGCCTAAACACTATGCTTAGGCGGTTTTCAAGATGATTACACCTAGTTTACAGACGACAACAGATGAGTCCCGGTCCCAACATCTGGTAACCTTGCGGACCGAGCGTTAAAGGACATGTCCCCGGTTTGTTCGTCCCTCCTCCCCTCTCTCCGACCACGCCACGCCGTTGCGCAAACCCGCAGCCCCCCCACCCCCCTTTTTATCAGGCCCCGTCTCGTCCTATCGATAGGGGGTCGGTGGGGAACGGTGGATCGACGTCTTTCACCTCCATATCGCTAGCTAGGGACCCCCGGGCGGGTGAGACTGTCGACAGTTGACCACGCAAGTAAGTGTTCACGTGCGCAAAGTCGAGAGGCTCTGGGTCAAGATTCTGCTCATACGAGGGGAAGAACGGACGATCCCCACGACGCTGGTACAATGTGGATAGGCAGGCTCGGCGCAACCCTCCAAGACCCTTGGGCTCTCACTGGTTATTTGCATTGTGGTTGTTTGACCTTGCATCTGACAGGAGTCAGGCGGTCTTGGTTGTGTTTAACCCCACTAGCTGCCCGTTGTGCCTGCCGGCGTTGTAGCCGCAACCGATTCGCCGGGCCTGACCCGGCGAAGCACAGCGGACCCTGATCCGTTCGGAGATGGCCGTTGTTTCAAGGATTCCACCGGCTCCCTTACTACCTGCTTTGTTTTGGGAGGGGAACAGAGAAGGGAAAAAGCCAAGGAAAAAGAGGGAAAAGGCAAAAAGAAAAAGAGGAAGAGTTAGCTGGGTATGTATAGAAGGCTGTCGCAACTTCGTTTGCGCTCGCGGCTGCCCAACTAGGTGCTCCTACGCGGCCTCGAACGCAGGCCGTCTGCCGCACCCGAGACCTTGCCAACATTACTGAGCCTTGGTCGAGGCCAGCACCTAATGGGGAGCGGGAGGAATTGTTGCTGGACCTGAAGACGCCCGCAAATAGTCGTCCTGCGACGTTGCTTGCGTCGCAACCACGACAAGCTGTACATACCTACTTTGATCTCTGCGATTCTTCATCCCTGCGCGGCACGAGCGGAGGTCGGTTCCACATCGTCACAGGCCAACCCTGGCCCCACGGGCCTTTCCTTTTGTGGCGGACACTGCTGCGTATCCGCACAATCGCTCCGATCCCGGGCGCCTGGGCACCTGGGCACCTGGATGGACCTGGTGAAGACATACCCGCCCCCTGTCGTCAGTTCGCCAGCCATGTGTTTCGCTGCCCATCCCGCCGTGATCGTAGGGATGGACTGGACATCAGGTCGTTTAGTTGAGTTCGGCGTTGGTTCGATTGCCGCTGTCCGCGAACAGAGACGGTATGTTAGGGTCAGTCAATGCGAGGCTTTGTTCCTCGCAACTTCTCTTTACTTAACCATGCTCCCATCTCTCTGCCGACAGTAAAATTGTCAACCGCCGCCACTCAAATGCAGTGTGACTGAGCAACATCTGCCCAGCCGACGAGATCCAGCGCGCCATCCCTACCCACTCATACCCAGGTCAGGTTCACAAGGAGACAGACAGCACGCTGCAGGTAGAGACCACTTTTTCATCGTCATCTCGTCGTCGCCTCTCCCGTTTCAGACGGTTCATGCCGAATTCGTCTCTTGCCGCCGAGTCCTCTGCCCCTAAGGGTCGTCCGCCAGCGCCGTACTCGGCAATCCCAGCCTAACGGGCCGTGAGGTACACCGTTCATACGTCTCCCGACGCCACCATCTCGGCACGTCACGCCGTCAGATCCCTCCGACGATGCGCAACGCCCGCTCTCCCTTCACGCCTGACTCTCTGCTGGCACCGACGGGCCGCCGTTTTAGGTCGCAGATCGCCTGCATGGACTTCTCCAGGTACAACATCCCACTGGACGCGCAGCCGTCATCACCGCCCAGCGCGGCTAGCAACAGAAGACCCCTAGCACCCGCACCGGATTCGGTTGGTTTAGCGCCGTCTGATGTGTCGGTCACCGATCCGATCACGCAACAGGACCAGCCGGCATCCCCCCTTGTCCCGGCCTCAGCTCCGGCCGACCGGAACGACGCCGCGGCAGCCGGCCTCTTCCAGTGCCCGCACTGCCAACGACGGTACTCTCGCCCTGCGTATCTCGCACGGCACATCCGCACCTACACTCTCGGCAAGCGCTGTGCATGTCCTATATGTTCCAAGGCGTTTGCCCGAATGGATCTGCTGAAGCGTCACGTTGCTAGGCACGCAGGCGGCGGCCAAAACCACGGCAGCAAGCGAAACCACCGCCCGGGACCTTCATCCGGCACTCGTCGTGTGTCTTACGCTTGCCGGCAATGCGCTGCTGCTCGTGTCAAGTGCGACGAGGTCAAACCGTGCACGCGCTGTCGTAGCCGCAACATCGATTGTGAACCCTCCTCGAGCCGTCATTCTTCCACAGCCGCCATGCACATGCCCCCGCCCGGGAAGATCACTAACGCCGGCGGCAGCGAGACTAAACCGTCCACCGACTACCCGATGGTACCTTCCCCCCTCCGTACCCACAACAACCACTCCCCTTACGCCGCGCATCAGGGGCTTGCCCCACCGCAGCAGCCCGCGTGTTTGCCAACGGCCGCAAGTGGCCTGGAGGCTCTAGGAGAGCGCGCCGAGGCCGAAAACGGGCGTCCGGCAACGTTGACGACATGGCGCGCGGGACTGGTACCGGATCCCGCGCACGTCATCCACGAGATAAGCGCGTACAGGTGGTTTGCCACCACGAGCCCCGTCTCCACCACCACGGGAAGAGGCGTGTATGAGCCGGAAACGGGCTCCGTGACGGTACCAGAGCCAGGGAGTCAGCCTGTGTTGGACTTTTACGCTGGCTCGAGCTTGGGGCTGTACTTGGTCAGTTCCGAGCCATTCGAGCCATTCGAGCCATTCGAGCCATCCGGACCAGTCGAGCCATCCGGGCCAATCGAGCCATTCGAGCTATTCAAGCAACCAAGCCTGGGCGGTACGAACTCGGCCGACAGCCAACGTTGGCCTCGGCCTGCGTATGACGCCGTCGAGACGATCCAGCACGCAACGGGCAGTCGTCGAGGCCCATGAAAAGCCCCCTCGCCCCAGACCCCACGGGCACCAGACCAGACCACGCCAACCATGGCGCTTGTTGAACGAGGCAAACTTCTCCCGCGCCCATTGGATAGATGACTCGGGCTGTTGGCCGTTGCGAACAATGTCCAGAGCGTCGTCTCCTCAAGCATATCGGACCTATCAGGCAGCTTTCTTCCGGGGGACGGTCCGCCACGAGATGCGAGTACCAAGAATTGGGACGCAGAAAGCGAGATGATGAATAACGTAAGGTAGATTCGGAATCGCAAACTTGGCTTGCCGCCAGCAAAGAGCCGGTAGCAGCAGCCTGCCGTGGGACGTCGTCTATGGCTTGTCCCGATTCCGTGAAGGGGTACACTGGACCGTCGGAGCTTAGCTCCATTAGGGGGTCTTCAAGAAAACCCCCCCATCCTTGTTTTTTTTCGTTCACTTACACGAGAATTCCGAGTCCGAATCTAGAGACTTGCCGAAATTGCCGGACCGGGCAAAGCATACACCTTGTGCGCGCCAATCCCCACACATCATTTCAACCCCCCCCCCCGGATCTTACCGTTAGGTGCTATAGCTCGGGGCTGTCCTACGGCTTCGCTCCGGCGGGGCAACGAAATCGCGCTAACAGGGTCACGGTGGGAGCCGGGCCGATTCGGGGAATGGCGCGAATTGCGTGCAGAATGTCTCCCTCAACGGCCGAGAATGATATAGGGCGATACTTCGACGTTGGATGGGCGCAGTCGGCCCCCCATGTAGTTGGTTTAGAGTTTCGGCTTGGCGGCTCTATTGCCCCACCCTGGGTGCCCACTGGGGCGGCGCCCGTAACCCTGATCAAGCACGACAAGCATCCCTGGACGAGCAGGCATGGATACGCGAACGGATTCGAAGACCCGCGAAAAGGTCTCAGGACTTTGATACGATTGGCTCGTGCGCGCTCTTCACTGCTGTTAGATCGTCGATGCGTTTTCCCGACAGGGTCTATATGTTTTACTGCCCCTGCTAGCTCCATCCTGCAGGATAATCTGGAAAGGCTACAGGCGTGCGCTTACCTCCTGGATATGAATGTAAATGTGAATGTAGATATTCATGAAAATGCCAAAGCCTTGTTTTGTATCGTTCGTCTGTCTTTTGCTGCGTTGCGTTGCTGATCAGGGTGTGGCATGAGCTCAATTGCGTCAGCACCAGCT